ACTCTTCATTGGTAGTCAGTATGTGCTATTCAAACTTATATCCCAACCTACCGGCTTCTCGACTTTTCCGCTCTGGATGATGATGTTGACAATCACTGGCACTTTCGCATGGAACCCGGCAATGGTAGCACGGTGCAGTTCTTCTGGTGTCCGTACGAAGAATCCAATGCCACCCACAACCTCGGCCAGCTTCTCATATTTGGTTTCCCAACCGAGTCCCCAACTCCGTAATCCAGCTTCGCCCCTGATGGTTCGCTCCTGTCGTTGGTACCAGTCTTCTGCCGAATTCGAATCGCCAAAGTAAATTCCTCCATTGTTGATAACAAAGATCAATACATCCATCTGAAATCGCGCCATAGTCTCGATTTCTATTGCCGTGAAGCCAAACGCGCTGTCCCCTTCAATCGCAACAATCTTCTTGCGCTTCGTCGTGTTGCTCCCATTTTGCATCTCTAGCCCATTGTACGCTTCATATGCAGCAATGGCATAGGGCAGACCAACCCCCATCGTGGCGTATGAGCCGGCGTCAAGCCGCAAGCGCGCATCTTCTACCGGAAATATCGACCTGGATATATCCATGGTATTGGCACCCTCGGCGACATACACTATCCCTCCATCCTCCGGTGGTGATAAGGTATGCAGGGCTGATTTGATGACATCAAATGTATGTGCATAGGTAAGTGGTACCGTCGAATCGGCGGCTGCTTGGGCTACTAAGGCTTGGTTTCTTGCTTGAGCCGCATCTAGCTTCTTCACGTATATCGAAGAATCTGAATCAAATCGCCAGTCGCCCAAATGCCTCACTAATTGTGCCACCACAACCTTGACGTCACCCAGGAGGGCCAGATCTGCATCTGCAGCATTATTCCCTAGCTCTTCTGCTGATATGTCAACTTGTATGAACTGGGCCGTTGGAGACCACTTGGGCGGTTCGCCATAGTGAAAGATCCAATTCAACCTGGCTCCAAGTACTAAAATTATGTCAGCCATTTTCAACGCCGCCGATCTGGCGGAGGACACGTTCTGTGGATGCGAATCCGGCACCACTCCTTTGCCCATTGGGCTCGGAAGAAATGGTATCTTTGTTTTGTCAACCAACTCTCGTATCACTTTCTCGGCCCTTGCATATGCCGCTCCTTTTCCTATCAATATTAACGGCGCTTTTGCACTTTTGAGTAAGCCGGTCACTTGTCCTAATCTCGCCTCATCAGCTGCTGCTGTAGGCGGTATCGGAACTCTCGGTGTTTCGTCTACATTTTTGGTGCTCTCCACTGGATCCATGATGATATTCGCGGGCAAGTCGACAAAAGCAGGTCCAGGACGTCCATACCACGCATACCGGTATGCATTGGCAACGATCGCTGGCAATGATTCCGAATTGGGAGGTCGAACAGCATGTTTGGTATGTGGAGACAGAAGAGAGACAGAATCCAATTCTTGAAAAGCGCCTTTTGTGATAAGATGGGTTTCGATTGAGCCACTGAGGAGCAGAAGAGGAAAGTTGTTGGCAGAAGCATTGCCCACCTTCACGTGGTCAGTAAAAATACTACTTCATTCACCAGAAAATCCAACGCCGTAAGAAATCTACAAGAGTACCCAACGTACACCAGCAATTGCATGCAGGACCCCTGGTCCACCGACTACAAGACACACCCCAGGCTTCCCTGTCAAGTACCCATACGCTGTTGCTGCATAACTTGCTGCCTGCTCATTGCGGAATCCAATAAATCGAATCCCAAGATTGATTGCTTGCTCAGCGATGTCAGACACAGGGACACCAACAATACCAAATATGACAGCTACATTAAGTTTTTTGAGGGTGCGTGCAATGATATGGGCGCCGGTTGGTGGTGTGGATGACATGTCTGGTGATTTGATGGGTTTAGTTCAGAAAATGCGATAATGAAAGACGTTCAGGAGCAGAGTTGGATCATGAGAGACTTTTGACTCATAAGAGTTATAGCTGGTGTGGATGTATTGGCGAGAGGAGGTGTGGTATCTGGGCCGAGGTTGAGAATCGGCATTTGTGAAGCATGATATCTATCGCGTTTACTACCGGTGGTAACCACGTATCGCAAATCGCAAATCGTATCAAATTCGTACAGAAGCGATGCATTTTCCTCTGATTTACTTTGTAAAATCTTGTATTCTCTATACATTGGAGAGACCAATGGCTTAGTGGCCAGGGGATATTTTCTAAAGGGTACACAAGAAGAAGCGTTGTATAAGTACAAGATATGCGTCATTGGTCTATGCGCCTCGTTTGTTGATTACACATCATCTTCGTATTCAAATTGATTCTTTTCCCTCACACAGCTTGTATAATGAAAGCTGAATTACGTTGCCCATAATACACATGCTTTGAGGCTGCATTACGCTACTTCACATTGGTCGAGACGGAAGGAACAATCTTCGAAGACGAATGGAGAGTTGGACTAGATGTAATATACATGCACCTAATGTTAAACAGAGCAACGAAAGTGTAATGAGTTGATTGATTGATTGAAGTTCCAAGCGATCGCTCGAAGCTGACTGTTTAGTCAAACGCTAGTTACATAATACACTCACGTGATGGGCACACGGGTCACCCAATTCAACACCTACTACCTAGCTACACGCTCGCCTCAAGGAGATCCCAACAGAATGTCTACATCGAAACGACCAAGACCACCCAATACCCATCAACGGATATGTGAACATCACAAGTCCTATGAGGCGATGTGCAATGGAGCAAAGAGAACTGGTCAACGCTGTACGAACAGAGCAAGGTAGGTGTCTGGTGTGCATAGATATTTCATTGCTGTTTATTTAACAAATCACTTGTTAGTTTATTCCCAAAAGGATACTTCCCAACCTGCAGACAACATTCAAGTCAACTAATTCCTACCCGCCTGGGGTATTGCCAAGCGCTTGCAGAGTGCGGTGAGGCATGTGGGAGAATATGCCACTACATGCCGCCAGAACTTGAACTATGCAATGAGCACGCAGAGGGAACTCCAACTCTACCCTGTTATATACTCCGGCTTTCCACCGAGATTAGAGTGGCAATCTTTCGATATCTTTTTCCTGAGAGGATTTCGGCATTTCATCCCAACAGTCTTATGGATGATGGAGCGCATTTCATCCACAAGAGTATCTTACGGGTAAATCGGCAAATACACAATGAATCCAGCGCTGTCCTGTATGAACAGGTACCATTCGATGCCGAGATATCCTTTTTCAACATCAACATGCTTGGTATATCTTGGAAATGGAACAATTTGTACAGGACTGAGTCTCTCTCTAAAATCACCCAACGCATCCGCAATATCGCCTTGTTCATCACTATACCCGCTTTTGAATCGGATGATGCTCAATTATACAAGACTCGAGATAACGTGCAACATTTTACAAGCTTATTCCATCCGTCTAGCCCAAGCCAAAGATTCTCATATCCACATCAACTACATGTCCGGCCAGAGGTCGAAACGACGTTTACAGTGTGTAATTGGAACGATGAAGAGCGTGTATGCGCACTCATATTCGTCCTCAGTCCACTACTTGAATTGCGGAATATACGCAATGCGAAAATCAATCCTGCTGCAGAACCGCCCCGCGGCAGGGACAACAGTCCTAGCTTCTACTCCCATAATCAGTATAATAGCGATGGAACCGTGATTGTGCAGAGGGATCTGCAGAGGAAATGGAATCTCTTGAGGGCCTGCGCAGGCCTCCCACTGTGTGGAACAGCAGATGATTTTATCAACGACCAGACTGAAGATTACACAAAGTTCAGCCGTGAATTCGAAACCAGCCTCTGTCGACCTTCAGAGAGTACAATAGACCCAGATTCACGTTTGCATAGAGAACAAATTGCATCGCTCCGAACCGAGTTTTCGAAAATCAAGTGGTTCGTAGCCATGGTGAGGGACCGAGACAGTCTTGCCATGATACCACCGAGGGATGACATGTATGCCGAACCGCCTCCCAGATGGGATCGTACTATTTTTAACGGTATTGATCAAGTCATTGATGTCGCGCGACGTCTTGTCATGAACGAAGAGTTTGAACAATTTTCCGCCCTCAGGCAGATTCTGCAGAAACGATGGCTCGATCACCTGGAGCGCCAACGACAAGATGCAATATTTCTCGGAAAGAGCCTGTGGAACTTCTCTGACGAATCCGAAAGGCTTACGATTCTGGCTGCAATGCCTGGCAGTGTGTCAACAGTTGGAGATTTCGAACCAGACGATGACGCCATTTCCGCGACTTTTGCACGGTGGCCTGAGATGGATCTGAATTTTGGTCTCCCTTTTGAAGAAGAAGACCAGGAATTGGTGGAGAAATGGGAGGACGAGAAGCGCCTTTATTTCAAGTTTGAAGGAAATACGAGGTTTCGCTTGAAAACACCGCACCTGTTACGAGAGTTGGGGTCGAGGGCATGATAGACCGATATTCGAGAGCACTCCTGCAGAACGTCTTTAAGCTGTAGGAGTTCAGCGATATGCGCTCTCATTATTGACACATATTGGGACAAGCTTCAAGCGAATGTGACTGTCGGACTCATCATGATCTTCTGAAGCAATTGGAGTAGGTGGTTTGTATTTGACAGAAGCGGTTCATATCGATAATAAAGACTAGAATCTACGATATGTCTCGCCGAATTCTTGTAAACGTATTGGCGAAAATAATATTATTCAAGCCCGCGTGCTATCCTTCGGCTTCCATGTTTCAAAGTTCCCTGTATCCATGCGAGGCTGAAGTAGGTACTTCCACAATAGCCTCTACAAGTTGGATCAACACATCACATCCAGTTTCAAAAAAAGCAGGCTGTCTAAACCAATCATCGTAGACTTGAATTAAGTTCTGTTTATCGATTTGCGTGCGCACATGCAAAACCGCCAAGACATGTCCGTTCATCTGATCATTACGTGACCATGGCACGCCCCTTCTCTCCCCAACCACAACTGCAACTGCAACTGCAACTCAAAAGACACACTGGCTCATTGGCAAAAAAATGTTGACAAGTGTGGGATTCGAACCCACGCGGGCAAAGCCCATGAGAAAGCACTTCTAGAATGAAGCAAGTTTGCACTTGAGTCACACGCCATAACCACTCGGCCAACTTGTCGCTGTTAATTTGATGGAAGATTTGCATCTCGTAAAATATATAATGGCAGAAAATCAGAAAGGATAACATGCGAACATCGTCGAGGTGGGCAGCAATTTATCAACCCACTGTCGAGAAAGTGGGAAGACGGCAGGGCTATGCATGACAAATCCTATCCCGCATCAGCCTAGTGGCCGGGAAGCTGTGTGTCGGCAGGATTCCTTAGCTCTTGACTAGTCCGCGACCGCGCAACACATTCTCTTACTCATGCTACCCTAGAATCGAAACTACTAAAATAATGTACTACTTCCTGCTCTACTATTGTATCTTTACTGTCAGGTCTTTCGTCTGTTTGTTTATCATGGCACACTGTCCAATGAGTCCTTAGTAAATTAATCTACAATTCCTGAATCTTTACTAAAACAACAACAAGTTAGGAATGTTAACAACTTCAGCATGCATTACGAATGTAACTAGCAGTTCCAATACCAACTCATGATCTGCAATTTGGAATAACACTCCCTGCTTCTGAAGCTTTTCGAAAAGTGAACAAGACTGAAGTAGCATAGCGTTCCAAGGCAAGGAAGCAAAAATTAGCGCAAAGGTTCAGCGCACAAATGTTAGACTTTTGCAATCAGGCTCTCACTCAAACACCTGGACCTCTTTTTACTAGCTAGAGGACTCTAATCCCAAATCTCTAACTGTACATATTTCAACAAAACTTGTGTTGCAAGACACTTTCTGTTATGGTATGGCCTTAAGATTTAGCTGCGATAAGGGTCCAAGATAATATATTGAATGTTACGAAGAGGTCTATCTGTTATCCTCATGTTTACAGAGTAATACCCTTCCTCTGCTATGCTGCTTCTTTCCCTCATCAGATGCATCTCGTCCGGCAGCAGCGGCGCTGCTGCTCCAATCTCATATACTAGCTAGGCGAAGCCTAGCCCTTTTATACTTTCTACTTTTTATAATAGTACTATACTATATATTATACTCTTACTTTAATAGAAAATAAACTAATAGTAAACTTATAAATAGTTTTAACTAAGTACTATTTTATATATAAATCTTTTATTATATTATTAACTTTTTTTCCTTAACTAGTTTTTAATAAATAATTTTATTTTTAAATATTTATTTATATAGTTAAAATAAAGCTTAATATTATTTATAAAAAAAAGCTACTTTAAAAGTTTAAATAAGTTTTAATAATAAAATAAATAAATAAAATATATACTAATAAAATAGATTATTATTTTTAATAAAATTATTTAAATAATTTATTTCTAAAGTTTAATTAATAAGTAATTTTAAAATAATAGTTATATAATCTATTACTTTAATAAATTTTAACTAACTAAACTAAAAAATAAAAAAAATTTACTAATTTAATTTATAAAATATATTAGTATAACATACCCTATAGGCAAGTTAATTAATAAGCAAGTTAATTACTTTTGCTAAGACTATACTAAAGTACTCTCCTTATACTAATGCCTTAATAATAGTAGAATATTAATATATTAAAAGAAGCTTAAGTATAGCTTATGCTTTAAGCTCTTAAATAAGACATAAATCTCTTATAGTAATATGCTATAGCTATTTATAATATTCTCTAAGCTATACTAAGTAACTAATATATAAGATAACTTTTATAAGCTAATACTATACCTAACTTATAAAAGTTAGATAATAATAAAGAGTAGGTAATTATTAGTTATATACTTAAGCTAGATATATAAGGATTTAGCCTTTAGCTTATAGATATAGCTGCTATAGCTAATTCTCTATATACTATGTTACAAACATAGTTCTCTACAAAGCCCTTGAACCCTAGTTCAACCCTATAGATCCTAATTTGTTAGGAAGCAAGGCCTATAGAGACAAAGACTTCTACGTAAGAGAAGACAAGGCTAAACACAACCTTAACACATAACTAATCTATTAATCTATTACGCTAAGAAATATAGATTATAGATTATAAGTAATTTATAATAGTAAGTAATCTATCTAATATAGATTATAGAAAATATAGATTATTTCTTTATCTTTTATTAAATAACTAAGCTAAGCTAGCATCTCTTAGAGTAATATATAAACCTATAAGTTTTCTATATAGTTAGTTTTTATAGTTAAATTAATTATTATTTTAAAAGTACTCTTAATCTATTAGTACTAATTATACTTTATTCTAATATCTTAAATATAAAATATGTTTTAACTTACTAACTTATTACTATACTATTCTACCTTTGCATTACTTTCTTAACCTAGAACTTAAGGTTCTTATACCTTAACTACTAGTCTTGTAATAATAATAATAGTATAGTAGCTAGCACTTCTAAGAAAAGAATACTTACTTTAGACATAGCATCTAGCCTATCTATAAGCAATACTTAAGCTATAGAGTTTAAAGAACTTAAGGCTAAGAACATAGTAGTAAAAGAGTTTATAGCTATTACTAAAAAGAAGATAAACACTTTAATAGACTAAGTAGCTAAGTACTAATCTAAGCTACTAAAGTTATTAGTAGCATAAAAGTTTAATAGAAACTACTCTAAGCTTAAAAAATTCTTTAGAAACATAGTAATCTATATAATAGCCTAAAAGAACTAGTTAATAAATAATATAGTAAAAGTATTTTTATTTTGTTATACTTTAAGAGAAGACTTTTTATATAGTTTTAAAACTACTTAGAAGAATAGTTCTAACTACTAAAGAATTAATAAAGCTAGAAGACTTAACTAATATTTACTAACTACTAGTACTTTAAGGCTAAACTTAAGAGAACTTTTAGAAATATTAACATAAAATAAATAGTAACTTAGAAACTAAATAAACTTAGATAAACTAAGTCTACTTTTATATATACTTCTAAATTTAAGTAACTAGCCTCTTAAGTCTAATAGAATAACACAGCCCTAATAGTAAAGTACTAAAAGGAATTAAAGAATAACCTCTGCTATAAACTTATCTAAATTAATAAACTAAATATACTTAGAGAACTTATTAACTAAGCTATATATATTAATAATAAACTATACTTATAAACATAAGAAAAAAAAGAATAGTTAGCCTTTTAACTATAAAGAAACTAACTATATAGATAAAGAAACTACTATAAGCTATAACCTATAGAGAATATATATATTAGCACTAACTATAAAAAAAAAAGCTAATGCAACTCTAAGAAAAAGAAAAAGCTTTAAAAGAAAAAAGCTTGCTTTAACTATAGAATACTAGGACACTTTACTAAGAATTATAAAAAACTAAAGTAGACTATGTAATAGACTAATAATAAAAGCTAAAGAGTATAAGTAGCAGCTAACAAAGAATCTGCACCTAAGAAAACTAGACTAACTAAAGAAAGAATTTTAGTAATTAGCTAGCATAATGCTATAAGCTAAATAGCATGTGCTAATAATAGATACATAGCCTATTATAATAGTAAGGCTAGCACTAGGTACTAGCCTAAGAAGAGTTAAGTATCTATAACTAGAAGCTCTCTACTATAAAAGGAATTTATACTTAGTAATAATAAATAGTATACTTAGCTACTAGAAGAAGATAGTAAAAGCTTGTTTATAAAAGAATATAGCTCTAATAAAGCTATAGAAACACTATCCTAAATAGTATACACAAGGTTATGCATAAAGGATATCCTATCTACTCTAAAAAACAAAGACCTATAGAAAGAATAAATATATAAAGACAAGGAGGGCTAGCTAAAGATAGTATAAGTAGCCTTTTAAAGAAATACTATATATATAGAAATCTTAAGCTTAGCAGAAGCTAAAGTAACTCTAGAACCTAAGAATAAAGTAAATAACTTTTAATTAGTTAATAAGATAGGACTACTATATATAGTTAGATAACTATATATAAACTAAGTAAATATTACTCTAAGAAACACCTAATTTATAGATTTTAAAAAATAAATTAAATAAAACTTTTAGTTTGTAAAACTAGACCTTAACTTAAATATATAGTAAAAAGTTATAAAAATAATATAAGATATTAATAAGTACTAACTTAAATAAGTACTTATAAGGTAATAGATTCTTATAGAAGTTATAAACTAAAGGCTTAAATAGAGATATAAAATAGTTTCTAAAGATAATAAATAAATACACCTTAACTATATAGCATACTTTAAAATTATATAAGCATTCTGCTTATTTAAGTATAGCATATATAAAAGAGCTAAAGTTAAACACTAATACTACTTAGCTAAGAATAATAAGGAACTTATACTAAAGGCACTAGTAAAAGAAGAAATCTATAAATAAGCTTAAGCTATAACTTAAAATAGAAAAAAGTATGTTTATATTAAACTTAGACTTTTTCTTTCTTATAGATGCTTAGTTAGTAGACTATAGTACTAATATTACTATAATAAATATCTAAAGCATATATAGTAAAAGATTAATATATAATATTAGCCTAAGAAATATAACTATATAATCTAACTCTTAACTTTAAAAAGCAAAAAAAGGTATAAGCAAACTACTTAAGAATATATAATAAACACCTCTACTTTAAAGTAACTTTTAAAGGTAGAAAAGCTTTAGTGCTAATTAATAGTAGAGCTACTAAGAATTATATGTCTAAAAAATACATAAAGAAAGTATATATTAAATAAATAAAGAAAAAGTACTTAAAAGTAGTATATATAATTAAGGAAAAGCCTTTTAAAAACTTAATTATATATAAAGTAAGTAGTATAATAACTACTAAAGGCAAAGCTACTAAGTATAAATAAGAACTAAATAAATAAGAAATAACTTTTAAGATAACTAACTTAAGTAGTAAACAAATGTTATACTAGAGATAACATAGCTTAAGGTAGCTAACTTAAGGATTAACTAAAATAGTAAAAACCTAATATATAGCTAAGACTACTAACTAAAGGTTATAGCTAACTAAAACACAGCAAGCATCTTAAATAGTATTAAGAGTTTAGGGAAATATTTAAAGAACTTAAAGACTACTTCTTAGAATATTAAGACTAGGATTAT